CTTGATTCTTCCGCTTCTAATTTTTGTTAGAATTTATATAAGATAACCTTGGTTCTTCCGTTTCTAATTTTTGTTAATTTCTTAATATAATTTTTATTTGAAATTATATATGATATTTATTCCATCGTGCTAATAACGAGTTTTTTGGTTACATTTCCTTTCTTTGTCCGTATTGAAGTTGAAATACTAATGGAATCCACGTGGTGGCACGTTTTAGATCTACATTATCATGGAGAATTTTTTACCTAGGCTATGTTATAGAACTATAAAGTGCAGGCCTCGATTTTTGCGTTTAGGGGTGGTGTATAAATAAAGTCATTTTTACTACCCCTGACCGCAGGAAAAAAAAAAAACACCCACACAAACAAAAATGAACTCATTTTTCTGCTCTTCAAATAAACAATAACAATAATACAAAAGAATATGACAATACAAGTTATCCCGAATACTATGTATAAAAGAGCCCGTAACTTTTACGTGGGGAACAGGGGGGACAGGAACCAGGTCAAAAGTGGCCATAATTTTTAAAATATGTATATATGTACGCTGGAGGAAAGTGGCCATAATTTTTAAAATATGTATATATGTACGCTGGAGGAAAGGTACTGTATCTTGTACCGCTGTCATACTTTTGTTTAATGATAACAATTGCTTTTGAAACGCAAAAAGATGTAATTTCGCGTTTTTTTTATAAATTCAGTGAAATGATGTCATCAGAAACATCCAATATCATCATCCATCCGCCATGGTGAAAACATCAATTTTTGTCTTCTTCTTTGTTTATATTCGCGCGTCTATTTTTATTTGTAATTCGGGTGAACGCGTATTATTGTATTATTTTTATTTGTAATTTGGGTGAACAGGTGTTATTTCCATTCATTATTTTGGTTAATAATAATAATAATAATAATCCTTGTTATTGACAATCGCGATGACGCGCGTTACCAAATAACGAACGATCTTTAGCATTTTTAATTAAATGGTTGAAATTATGATAGGCTAAAGACTTTTATTATTGATAAGCACTGATAATGAAATATGAAGCAGCGGCAGCAACACCAACACTCATACTGTTTCATACATTTCTATTTTTCATTAATTCTGTATTCTTCGCTTTATTATTACCACACCATTGGGAGTACACACAAGATTATAATATTAAGCCAATGACGTAATGTATCTCAATTAATATTACACAGCCAATCGAATAGTTATGCCGAAGAGTTAACCAATTAAAGGTTCGTGCACGATGTCTGATCCTTATTCCCGATCCAAAATGCATTAGAATGAGGGTTTTCATTCGCGCGCGCAATAACTTTTTGGGAAAATTAATACATGTTTTATCCAGTAATATGGTAAAATTTTCGGGATAGACCAAGCATCAAATGATGAAGCTGACAATGATGAGAAGAAAACTTTTATTTGTGAATGCTTATCTTTTTTTTTTTGTACATGGTAAATCAATTTTTATTCAAGTCAAAATTTCCTTTTTTGTAAGTTTTAATATATATATGTATACGTACATGCTTATCACTATGTTTGACTAACGTTAATATATGATACACGTAGAAAATTGCATTGTAAACACTATCGCTATTAAAATTCGAAAATATAGTTATCACGTGATAAGATTATAAAATATTTATGTCTAACCTTATTTTAAATAACGCGCGTCTAAAATTTTGGGGAGTGTGAAAGGTCAATTTAGGGGATGATTTAAAAAATGGATATGACGCGTTACTTGCCTCAAACACGCAAATAGAGGCCCTTCTAGACCTATCATTGTCGATCCGGGCAAACAATACATAATTATCGTATCAAATATTGACATTGTAACCCATTTAGTTTAGTTGGTTTCTAATAATCACTAGTTCCAAAGATGGGGTTTTTAAAAGTTACAAAAACGACCGCTACGTTATTTTAATCGTGTAAACAGGATGCATGTTGGAAACCATTAGCAGCTTTGTTCGCTTGCAACTATTCTTCAAATACGTAATTTATTATATATTTGATGATGACGTATTCGGAGTACGTGTTTTTCTCTTTATGGAAAGAATTCAATGTCTACATGTACGTTTTCTCTTCCCTAAGTAGAAGTCCCGTCGGGTAGTAATGAATTTAATCAATCAGCGAAGAGCAAGACAAACTAGTTTAAGAAATACTAATAACACTAAGCTCGAAAAGTCAAAAAGGCCTCTTTGAAGATTGGAATCATGGTTCTTGATCAATTGATTAAGGCAAAATACCGTCAATGTTGAAATTTGCATATTTTAGGATTTGATTTGATTTCTCCATAATTTATAGAATCAGTTATCTCTTTTCTCATTACATTTATTCATACATTTATTTATTTATTTATTTATCTTACCAAGCAGCATTCATTCTTATTCTACATGACATTTTGTGAATCATTGAGGCATAGTGTGAAACATCTACAATGATGTCATTGCTGCTTAACATGTGTGTTTGTGTATTTATCTATTCGGTTGTTTGTGTAATGAATAATATTCATTCTAGACTCTGGATAAGTGAACACTGCATAATGTTTGGCGGTATTGTTTGAGGAAAAACAAACATTTTAATATATAAATTTTTAATATGAAGTAATACAAGTACAAGTGTATCTATGCGTAAAATAAGAAACAACCCATTATGATGAATCAATTAATACAACTAATCAATTAAAACAACCGATACAACTAATAACGATAAATCATTTTGTGAGAAAATACTCTCTTATCAAGGAGAACCTTTGATCATAATATGAAAATATACTAACGCTAATACTATTTTGTTTCATGTTAATGATACTGACGATGGTTACTCAATTTAGGAATTATTCCGTTAATACAATTTTGACCCTGATGTCATCATCATCAACAACAAATCTTATGGGTGATAGTTTTTTCATTTAGGAAAAAGGATTGTAGCACGCGCGTTTATTTCTTAGTGAACTATTACGGAATTTTCGTAACCAGCGAATCACCGAATGACGCGGGTGGAAATTAATAATTATCAAAAGATACGCTGATAATGTGGAATTGCGAAAATTGGTCCATTGATTTGATTTTGATTTGATTTTGATTTGAGTTGATTCATGAATTGTTGCGTAATTTTGGAATAGGCGAAAACATATCTTCTACATCTATCCATTGTGATAGGAATATCCTGAATACGTAAGCGTTAGTAGAGTGAATTACACAGTTCTAGACGCAAGAAAATTTAATGTGGGGAGTATATATATATTTTTTTGAGAACTCAACTTCCTTTCATCCCCATAGATTCTACATGAATAAAAAAGGTAAACTCCGATAGATAAAGAAAACTATCATCAAATAAAGAATTTTTATGTTTTTTTTGGTTGGTACACGTGTGCACGGTAATCTTCGGTTTCTTCTGAGGGTGTCTCGGTAAATTGCGATCCTTCATTTTCTGATTATATGATTAATTGAATGACATCATAAATCAAATATTTGCAGAATATTGATCAACCGTACATGCGTATATTTTTTTGAATTGTTGAATTATCAAATTGACAAACTTCGTATTATTGGTCTTGATGCCATCTTCGTATTTTAAAAGGCGCAAGCAAACAAGCAAGCAAAATCGTAGCTTTATAAATTCTTTTGTGTTGTTCGTTTCTAGGCGTTGTCATTCATTTGTATACAATAATTGTTAGCGGATTTTCCTCTCGACACTGAACTAATTTTTAAATACAGTAATAAATGGGTAGTTTGAATCAATTAATAATCCGTCAATTTTTAATTTTGGATCATGAATGCAAGGGAGATTGTATTATATAACGAGCTAATAATCTAATAAAAATGTCGATCAATACTTTTTTACGGTTATTGTTAATTGGAAAATATATACTATTTGACTGGATACTACATAAAAAGATTCGGTAATGAATCGCGTGTGCACTTTTACCTTTAATTATGCCACAAATAGAGTATGCCAGTAATGTCACACATTTTTTTTTTGCCAGATTACACAAAATTGAGACACAGCAACAAATCTCTCTTATTCCCGAAATTGGTCCCTCGATTATTTTTTCCCCAAATTACGAGAATCCCTAAACTATCGCCGGCACCCCATTTTTTCTCGCAACATATAAAGAGTGTCTATCGGACTTATTTTTGCTTTTATGATGAGGACGAGTTTTTGTGAAAGAAAAAAAATTATCTGCAATTTTTCGTTCCCTGTCTTTCCGTAAATCTAAAATCACAAGAGATTTATTAAAATTGTATTAAACCATTTTATGAATTATTTTTACAATAATAAAATAAAATATAATAATAATAATAATATAATATAATATAATAGTAGTAAAATAATAATAAATAATAATAATAATAATAATAATAATAATAATAATTGATAATCAATCTTTGATAATTACTACTATACCTTTCCTCCCCTAAAGCTTATTAATAAGCCCACTTGATAATAAATTATTAATCTATTAAATTCGTCACTATATAAATTATCTTCCCGAAACTGCATATATTTTTCTCCGGCCATCGACATTATCATTACTATATAAATTCTCACACGCCTGCAAAAAAAACCATCACTTGGTAACAAACACTACATCTTAAAAATCTTCAAAATAAATCAATTAATATTATTATTAATATTTACTCGAAATAGATATATACATAAAATTAATCATAAAGTGTTGCATTATAATAAATTTGTTTTCATCTACCAAAAAAAAATTGTTTCGTTCACTTTTTAGCATAATTCTCGCATTACATCATTCTTATTTATCATTTCCAAAAACAATTTTTTTCTGCGACGTGTCTTCTGTATTAGATCACTTCCACTAACATTACCCTTGTAAATTTTACTCGTGCACTTCAAATATTTCTTGATTTCTTTCCTTGACTTTTAACAAAAGAACAATAAAGAACTTCTTGCCTTAAAAATTATACTTTTCTCTCAATTCATTATACCTTTTCTCTCTCCTAATATCTTTTTCTTAATACACAATAAAAATGAGTGTAGGCGTATGTAATTCACCAAAGTTTGAAATGCCAAACGAATCTTCTTATTTTGGCAATATACACCATATGCCAGGTTCATACATACCAACGCCAGCTGCTGAAAGTGCTTGTTCGCCCGGTTACTTCGACCTTAATCCAAAAAGAAATTCTACTGCCCAAACCCCATATTTTGACACTGTAAAACCTAATTCGCCAGGTCAAACTCCTTTCTTTGATTGCGAAACTATGACCTCACCTTTCTTTGAACACTTACAAATACAACACGGTATTCGGCTTAGTAATGACATCAATAATCCTAATAATATTATTAATAACATTAATCATCAAAACAATCAAACAGAACAAGAAACATCAACGTCCTCGTCAATGAATTCAAGTCCACAAACCCCAGGATTTTCTATAAAATTACCCCCAAATTCTTTTCACAGTGGGATGGTTACTCCTACTTGGGTTTCAAACGGCACGTTCCGTATGTCATCATCAAAAGTTCAAAGAACAACTTCAATGAAACGTCCCTCGATGTCTAGCTTAACCCCTATATCTTCCCTTGCCTTTGAAACTTTTACCGTCGATTTACTCGCTGATTTGGTAAAAAGTCGCGAGTCTAATTCTCAAAATAAAAGCGATTTCTTAGTATTATTATTGGATTTAAGGTCTTTTTCGAATTTCACAGCCGATCGAATAAAGACCGCACTGAATATTTGTATCCCAAGTACGCTATTAAAGCGTTGTTCCTTTTCCCCCGAGAAAATAATGGAAACATTGGTCTCTGATTATGACAAAGACGTTTTCAAAGATTGGTCAAAATACCAGAACATTGTATTGTACGATAACGATTTGGATATAATATCCGAAAATTGTCCAATTTTTCATGTTTGTAAAAAATTTAAAAAGGAAAACTGCAGCGCTAAGATTGGTTGGTTGAAAGGTATGTCTCAGAATTTGATTACTTGATTACCTCAAAATTATCACATGATCTTAATTATTTTCCGTTAGGCGGTTTTCGCGCTTTTTCGGCAAAATACCCGGAGCTATGTGAACAAGCTATAACAATCACCAATCAAAATCCGCCAACTACTTTACCACGTCGTAGAGGCCTAAATGAAACATCACGGAGGCTGGGACCATTTACATGTCCAACACCAATTATCGAAGTTGCTGGTGTGAATCCATTTTTTTCTAATATTCGGCAAAATTATGAATTAAGCGTCGGTATCACTGAAACAATACCTATCCGTGTACCTGATGGAATCGCTGTTGATCGAACAAGAGTTCCCGAATTTATGGTTAATTTAATATATGGCGATGACGGCCGAAAAAAAGTAGCTCAAAAATTCCATGTTAGTATCCAAGTCATATTTTTATGCTGATTTAATGAAAATTATGAATAAAAATAACCTTTATTTTTTTAATCGAATAGGATATTGAATTGACGGAACAAAAACGATTACATTCTTTAATGTTACTAAATGCAAATCAAGTAACTGCCGATTGTCCATTCAGCATTACCGCAGGGATGGAAAAAGGTGCCAAAAATCGATACAACAATATTTGGCCATATGATCATGCTCGTGTTAAATTAAATCAACCCGGAGAAGGTGGTTGTGATTATGTGAATGCAAGTTTCATACAAGCTAAAGGCTGTGATACTCGGTATATTGCAACACAAGGTCCTTTACCCGCAACCTATGACGACTTTTGGCGTGTCATCTGGGAACAAAACTCTCGAGTGATCGTGATGCTGACTAAAGAAGAGGAAGCGGGCAGAGTATGTATTAATAATCTTTAGCATAAGAATAATCAATTATAAAGATTTTCGCTAATAATATTATATTTAAATTATAGATTCAATGTCATCGATATTGGTCTCAATGTACAAAATCACCATGCATGTTTGGCTCTATGAGCTGCATTCTAATTTCAGAAACCAATCCATGGGTCACTGCGGATGGTAAACTTGATACCACAATAATAATTCGCAAATTTCATCTCCAAAATACAACAGAGCCATCCGCACCACCCAGGGAAATTACGCAGATACATTTTCTTGGATGGCCTGATTTTGGCATTCCAGAATCACCATGTCAGCTTCTTAAACTAATAGATACTGCTAATGAAATCCAGTCTCGAGCTGCTCAATCATCATCGTTACAAGCAATCGGTCCAATGATTGTTCATTGTTCGGCTGGCTGCGGGCGAACAGGAGCATTTTGTACAATCGATACAGTTCTAAAGCAATTGAAAAGCGCCAAAACGACAGGTCAAAACATCGATCTTTCCGTCGATATAATAAAAGCTACGGTGGAAAGTTTTCGAGAGCAACGATTAAGCATGGTTCAGACACTGAGACAGTTTGCCTTTTGTTATGAGGCTGTGTTATGGAAACTTCTTGGTGCAGCATAAATAAATAAAAAACATCATAAAATTATTGTTAATCACGATATGTTCGATATTCTTAGATTTGGCAATATGCATATATTCACATATCATACACATATATCAAGAATCGTAATTGTGGGTAACAGCAACATCACATACAAGTGTTTTCGCTTCTCGGAGATATGATATGAGCGGATGGAGGTGGTGTTGCCTTTTTCAAGACAATAATGACGTATTAATTGCCTATACAACACTTATAAAAAATACAAGTACATCTTTTTATTGCGTGCGTGCGTGCAAATCAATATGTATTTTATTTGATCTTAGTACAGTATATGATTTTCACCCTTTTTTGCTTGTGTGCTTCCTTTTTCTTTTAAGAGATAGAAAAACCCTATAAAAAAGAATTACCAACCCTATGTCATATAATCAATTTTTTTTAAAAAAAATACATATATGCAAGATTCTCTTCCCTTTAATGAATTTATTAAATCTTTTTATTATATGAAAAAGGATTTACTCCTACACATATAGTAATCTTATAATATAGTAGTGCCCGCGCTTCTTCTAAGATACATACACACATATATACACTTGCACATTTTATAAATATTTCTGAGCAGCTGGTATATGCGCAGATATGTTAGAAAAGATTCTCTACATCACGTATGATACACGTAATGTTCTGACTCGCAACACGTACAAAAAATTTCTCATTTTGTAAATAATTTTTTCTTAATTTTCTATTACTGTTAAATAAAAATTAATGTTAAATAACAAAAAATTACTGTTAAATAAAAATACGTTACATAATTCAAACTATCTATTGGGTTATGGGAATTTGTGAAGTGCAAAACCCGTAAAATTAAAAAGGTTCATTTTCAATAAAACGTGTTATCATATCTAATGTTGCAATCTGTTCAAAGATTGTTATTGAGTCCAATTATTTATATAAATACGATATGTCAAAAAAATGAAATAAAATGACTTACTGGTTGATCTATGGGAACAAAATGTCCAGATTGTAAGAATACTATCCTGGTAAGATTTCTTGATTGTACCGAGTAACCAATCAGATTGTCATCTAGGTGCCAAATCTGAACATTATTGAATTAAATTAGTTTAGTAGTTAAATATTACGAACATATCAAATATGAAGAAATTCAAACCTTGCGTGGCTTTTTTCTGAAAATTTCAGAACCATCAAATTCTAATGAACACAGCCATTCGGTATTTCCAACAACTCCATCACGAAAATCCATGTTCCCTTGAAAGAGCATCACTTTATAATTCTCTATTAATGTAGGGAATAGGTGTGCGGTAGATTTCATAATATCACCCTGTCAAAGTAAACTAGAATTTAATCAATTAAAAATATTTCATTTTGAAAATTCCAATAGTTTGTCTCTTGCCTTGCCTTGAGAAATTCGATAACCGACAAATCTTTAAAATATCGCCGGTTGCCAACATTAACGGATTTCTTTATTTCCGGTATATTAAGGAATCGTTCCATCAAGCTCCAATCATTCTGCATTTCAGTTCTCCGAATATCATAATAATTCATGATTCCGGTGACATTTTGCCAGTATTTAAATAATTTATTGCGAATTTCTCTAGCTCCTAAAAAATCATTTTCCTTAATTCGAAGAACGGTTAGTGCAGCTAGTTGATTCATGTAATCTGCATCGTTTGATGAAACAAGACCTAATAAAGAATTTTGTATAAGATCGATTGTATAAAGACTAAAAAATTTGGATAGAGTCTTAATTTAAACCACCAAGTTGATAGGCTTGTTCTCCATGGGATTTGATTTGAGTAATTGGATCAGTAAATCCACTGCCTGAATGTCAAAAAATATATTGATAAAAAAGTAAAACGAATTACAACTACGGGATACATAAATAATACTATTATTTACCGATAGCGACGCCAGCAAGAGGAAAAATATCTTCATATTTTTTTTCTATTTATGATTGGCCGATATAAATGAATAATGATGAATTCAGAAAGACGTTTATAATATAAAAAGATCACGTACGTTGGCGTAAAAAAGTATTATGTTTATAAATGGCAGTTGCAAATGAAGGCACATATTTGCCTGCGTAACTTTCACCTAGGATACAATAAAATAAATAAAATGATACATATTAGAGATCCCATTTTTCAAATCAGGAATGAGATCTGTTAGGGATTTTATCTCTGAAGTGATCCGCGACCTTGGTTCTCCAGGGCCTTGTGAGCGATCAGGCCTGACTAAAAGTGAGTTCCTGATCCGGGGATGAAGTGAATCAACACAATTTGAGATCCCACCTATCCAGTTTTGTTTTGTCCCTCTTGGGAAAATATATTTTTCTTACCGGCTATATACAACTCACTACGTTTCTGTTCTGGATAACGTTGATAGAATTTTTGTAAGAACACTAACAAATCTTTTGAAATTCCTTTTTGATTACTGACATATCCTTCCATATAGCAAGGATCATCGTTTCGGACGTGATGAGATTTACGACGAAAGAAAAAAGACTCCATCATACGAATAATGGTTTGTCTAAGCTTTGATTTTTGATGCTTGGCGTTTCCGTCACCATTCTCCCCTTGATATTGATCAATGTATGAACATTCAGGGTCTGTTAAAATCGCTTGATGTGGAGAGTCTACAAAAGAGTACCCAGCTCCGACTGGTTGATCAATGAACAGCATCCCATAATGTTTATTCCAAGTATGCGGATTTCGTATTAATTTCATATTTGATGTAACCTTAAATGGGCCCATCTGCAATTTATTAATCATATGATCAGCAAAGATTGGAACGATTAGTGAACCATAATATATATACCTCATAGAATAATCCGATCATGGAGCTGGATCCTGGACCACCTTGAAGCCATCTGTATTAAATATTAGATATTTTCCATTGTTTGGTTATGATCAAAAACATAATCAGTGATACTTGCATTATCAATGGGGGATTCTCGCGTAATGGTTTCTGCGCTGGGAAAAACCAATAAAACCTTGTATAAAAATTTAAATTAGTATTAATGCAAGATTTCTTTTAACATGAGTTCTTTGTATATTATTTTTACAAGCTTGCGTTTCCTGTCCTCTCAAAAATCTTAAAAGAGCGGATATGTATGTAGCCGGCATAGTGCTTTTCGAGTGGCAACTCCCCATTTGCCCAGGGTAAGTCACCTACACGGTGTTCTTCACCGTCAAATTGTTTTGAACCTTTTGCCTGTTTTATCAAAAATTTGGAAAAGACAAGGTCCTCTTTCTCCAAGTTTTTAATATTGGGTTTAGAGGATGCTTCTAAAGCCAGCAATATTAAACAAAGGAAAAGATAACCTTTATACATTTTTTTCAAAAGTTACAGTATCTACGATATATCCAAAAAGATAGCGTGAATGATTAAACAATTGTATGACTAAGACGACGAAGAAATTATCATTGGATTATATATTTTACTGGGTGAATGCTATGATTGATCGATTAGTTCAAGCGTGGATGATGAATAAGCCTGCAAAAATAGTATCCGTTAATTTTAAATTTTTTAAATAATAAACAAACATAGTATTTGATAGGGAATTGTTTATAGTGAATTAAGCTGAAAGAAATGAGTGTTAGATCTCCCAAAGAGTAAATTAAATACTTTTATTATTTAAAACACAAGCTATCACGAAATACAAAATTTTAAAATAAATAAATGATTAACTCAAGTTTACAAAGGGTGTCCCTCTTGAATTTCCTGGAGATTTCGTGCCCGTAAAGATGTATCCGCGAACAATGCGCATATTAGATTTTCCAATTCGGTAGTTTTGAATTCAGTCAATTCTTTATTGCGGAATCGAGTCATAATTTCCGCGAGCGAAAAATTGAGAATATCCGTCAAGTGTCGGTATTTCTCCCAATTTTTTACGTGCATATTAATTTTGTGTGGCTAGATAGATCAAAACATGAGAAATAAATCATCCAATATTCGAGAAATAAGAATATAAAATATAAAAAGGAAAATGTATAAATCAAATTAAATTATAACTTACTCCTATTTTAGGAAATAAGCCTCCTAACTCAAACAACATTCCACAAATCAAGTTTAATTGTTGAGATTCTTCGGCAGATATATCATACAAGTCTTCTACGTCATCAATCATTCGTTTTATAACGGAATCTACCAGTAAACCTAGCGCTGTATATCGTAAAGCAGGAGAAAGAACTGCCTAAAAAATTTACAACATTACATTTGGACATTTAAAAACGGTAAAGAATATAACTGTTTTTCTTGGAGATAAATTTTCGTACCTTTAACACTTTATTTAATTGCGTTAATGTATGTACAATTTGCTTTATGACACGATGACAAACGTCAAATCGTTCCTCGCGTGCCATTAAATGAAGGCCTTCCATTTCATCAAGGAATTCTTTAAGCACAGATTTTTGTGTTTCCTATTTAAATTGAAAAATTGTTCAGACACACAAAGATAAATCCAAACTACTAAATATTTATAATTAATATACATTACTATTTGAATATCAAACCATCTTTGTCCTAACTCGCGCAATTGATTTGCCATATCCTCATAATAAACATTCTGTCCTGACCATTGATCGCCAATTACATTATTAACTTCTTCCATGTTTTCAGTGTCAAATCCCCAGCCATCTTCTTCAATATCATTCCCTAAATTCGTTACATCATTAGATGATGTCGGCTGCGGACTTGAATATTGTTTTTGAATTTTTAAAAGCTCGGATGCGAGCCACATGCAATCATTATAAAACATCATTGCAAGAGCGGGAATGTCGGTAAATTTGTTTGAATGATAGACTGGCATTATTGCACGATATAAATCGAAAAGATCGAGCGTTGCATTGTAAAGCCGAATACCGCTAACATTATGAATTTTATCTCAATGCATCGAGTGTTAATTTTAAACTGAAGATAGATCCTATAATGTGAAAAGCATAGCATACCTTTGCACATTTAATTTTCGCGCTTCGTTCAAAATATCGATTGTAAGCTCGATCAAAGCTTTTGACTTTGCGGTAATTTCATATCGCTCAGGCTCAAGTATACTAATTTCAGAATTTATATTCTGAATCGTCTCTTTATTTGTGATTGTCACATTCTTCTTATCCTTATCGCCTTGATTATTCCAACGGTTTTCTCCCCAATCTTCCTCCCAACCAAAATCCCATCCTTCGTTATTTTCTGATTTATTCTCTTTTTCCTTTTCTGCATTTTCTTCTGTAACCTTTGTCTCCTCTTTTATAGAGTTTTCTAGATTTTCCTTCCCCCGTTCTACATCTTCAGCAATCACTACGCTTTCAAATACCTCATCCGTCATAACCTTTCTACCAAGCTCTAATAATCGATCCCGTTTACGGATGGTAAAATGTATATCCACTTTGGCGACATATGCCCCTAGAGTATGTTCCTCTTCCTCCTCTTCACTGCTTTGTGATTCAAGCATAAACTCCAATCGCCGCATTTCAGCTTCAAACAATCGTGCTGATTGAGCTATCTTTTCAAATGATGTTAATTCTGATGTCTCAATTGGTATCATGTGTGAAAGGTATTCTTTTATAACCAGTTCCCGGAGATCTCGTGAAATAAAATTGCCAAACTTTGAGACATATTGAGTAGTTAGAGGTGAAGGATTCAACGGACCAGAAAATAAAGAAGGATTCGGACCTCCAAGAATGCGATTATAGATGAAGTGAAAGATTGCGGTTAAAGAGGCAAACAACGGATCTAAAAATGCAGATATATCAAATGATTAATGCGTGGTGCAAATAATATTCAGTCTTTTTACTTAGAAAATAACCATTTTTACCAACTGATTCGTTATAATTATCATTCTTTGAGCCAACTATAAGTTTAGATGTTATATCATCTTCAATTTTTATTGATGCATGCCAGCTTTGACGATGCTTAAGTAACGGTACAATGAGGTATTTCATTACATTTTTTTTTAGTCGAGATAGTTGCATATCAACAAGATTGACTTCAGTAAGTGAAACAAAGATTGATGATAAATGCGTGGCAGAGTCAGGACCTAATCAAATCGAAACATTAAAAAATTAACTTCTATAATAAATTGAAAAGTACAAAAAGTCGCGTCTTACCTGTAATAAAAGTTGCCACCGTAAGAATAGATCCACTCTCAATATCTCCATCTATCCTTTCAAATACAATTGCTCTAGTTAAAAGATCATCAAGTGTTTGATCTAACATGTCTTTCATGCTCGCCAATTTCAACTAGTAAAACATTTATGATTATCGAGGTAAATTTGACTAATGTTAACCTTTGAAAAAATAAGGACAAAAATAATAATGTTTGTTCACTATTTTTCTCAAATTAAATATAAGATAAACATCCTTTTTTCAAATATTATCCGTAAGGAGATATTTTTGATCATTTTGAATTGTCTTGCACACCCAAATTTCAGATAGCTGAATATGTTTGTTTAACATAGTTACATACCTTTAGTTTTTCAAAAATGTATATTCTTTTATCGGATATGATTGGTGATATTTCGAGCAATGAATCCTAGAGGCCAAAATATTGATTGATAAAAACAGATAATTTATAATTTCGAATTTTCAATCATTTTGTTCTTACCATTCCTCTCACTATTCCGGCAGCTTCTTCTATTCGTGCGTCGGCTAAATATTCACCAAAGCGCTTGATGCATAGCTGCACCTTTTGAAAAAAAAAGATTATTAAAAAAAAGCAATAAATAATTCGAAATATCGTATAACTACATACTTCGCTTAAATAGTTTAACATTTCCGTAACAGCCCCACTATTCTGTGCGTCCTGCTTCACATCGTGATTCTCTTGCAATGATAAAAGCAATTTTGATTTAACTCCTTTCTGTGTTGTGTATAAATTATGAGCTAAATTGCAGGAAAAATGCTGAAACATCTTGAGAAATAACTAAAGAAAATAAACTACCTCGGGATCATTAACTTCCTTAGAAACATTCTCGAATTCCGTAAACAAATTATTAATCCGTTCTCGCAATTCGCCGGAATTTTGATATAGAGTGCTAAAGGAATCTTGATTCGAGTTAATCTTTTCTAAAACTTCTGTCTAGGGATATAATTGATTAATAAATATTAGAAACTCTAAATAAAGAAAAAGATATTTTCAAGCCAGACTTTACTCTTTCGAACCTTAAAAGCCAATATTTGACTATCAATTCGCTGTAAACATGAAATTATAGAAGCTCTATCGGCAGGTGCGGAGGATAACAAGGCATTATTATTGTTTCTTTCTTCTTCGTCCACCCAGTTAGCATCAGTATCAATAAATTGTTGTTGGTCCTCTAATATAGAGGATATAAAAGCCACAGGTAATGCCACGGCCAGTATTGGAATTGGTGGCATTTTTTTACTCTGCAAGTCCGTGAATTTTTAGCAATAAATTTGAAGTTCAAATAATGTCGATCACTGCTAAATTTTCCCTCGTTGATTGACGATTGGCATGTAAATACGAGATGCTGCATCATTAATTATCGTTATATTAATTAGTTATTGATCGCGAAAATTTCACACTTTGAAATATGGAGAATATCGACGAAAAAAACTCGACTACTCTGTTGGAGACTAACACGTCAACAGAGGCAGGTCGTGCCGCGGTAGGTCGTGCCATGGAAGGTATTACGTTGTTAAATGTGAATAAACGTATCTATCGAATTCCGACAAATACTCTGCCCAAAGATTTTGTAATAAAAAATCAAAATGAACTAATATTGAAAGTGGCGGATAATAAAGAAATTGGTATTTTATTTTTTTATTTATCTTTTTTTAAATTTTACTCGAGTTTAGTTCATTAACATCTTTGTAGTGAATAACGGCAATGATAATATCAATATCGACAAAAATATTAATAAAAACGAAACTAAAAATACGCAGTCCCTAATAAAGAAAGAAGATGTGCAAGATGTTGCACAAAAAGAATATACAACAGTGAAATTTAATGTTGACCAAATTTTTCACAAATTTATCATTGGTAATAATCTATTGATTAATCAATTGCAATGAGAACGATAAACTATAATATTTATCGAGCATTATTACAACGTGGGTTTTTCTCAAAAGGAAAAGGCGGAAAGACATTAAATAGCATTCAAAGAGAAACTTCAACACGTATTCATTGTTCACGTGATGTAATTGGTATATTTTATTTGAATTATTTCTTCATATGAATGTTGTATAAATAAGATGTTATTTAAATTATTTATAATTATTTTTTTTAGAGATAAGGGGAACCCAAAAAGCTATCGAATTGGCAAAGAGCCGGATCGATGAAATAGTAAATGCGGTATATTTCATTATCTATGATATCTAGATATTTTTTCACTACTCGTATGTATATTAATTTGCTGATCAAAATTATAGTCATCCAATAAAATAAAAGCAACACATTTCCTTTCACTTCCAATTACCGATTCTCACATTCTTAGAAAAGTCGAGACTTTTCATTCCGATGTTTTGTCACTATCAGTACCGGGAATCGAACCATCAATTCTGAATAATCCTTCATCGCTTCACATCACTCTAGGATTGTTAGTTTTACCTCGACAAGAAGATGTTGAAGGTGCTACGCGTTTATTAAAAGAGTTGTCATCGGAAATATATGATTTGGTTGGTACTAGGACTCTGTTAGTTCAATTAGCTGGGTTGAATACTTTTGATAATCCAGGTAAATAAATATAACTTATCAGAATAATGTATTGACGTGAAATTGGGGGGTTTTTGCTTATTTATATTGGTATATCGGTATGAATAGCAAGTGCGAGTGTATTATATTCAAAAGTGACAGAGCCAGAAGGCCAAGAGGTTTTAGAAAAATTAGTTGGTAAGCTTTTGATTTTCAATCTATGAAATAATAATTATTTCGAAAATAGGCTAAATTTGATTATTCGATTTAGAATTTTTACATGAAAGATTTTCGAAATCAAGATATCTTAAAAAAGAAAACAGACCTGTAAAGGTATGTATTTAACAAGGAAAAATAAATTCCATAATTGTTTAATTTTAATCTTTATGATTATTTATTAATTTATAAACAAACAGTTTCACGTAACATTAATAAATACTAAATACCGTGGACGTGAAGACGCTACCACTACCACCACTCCTAATCAGGGTGATCGTAATAAACATTCAATACCCTCGCGAATTTCATTTTCTGCTGAACTTTTTCTTAATAAGTTCGCCGACATTAACTTTGGAACTTGTCGGATTGAGAGTCTGCACATTAATAAAATGGGTGAGCGTGATCCGGAGGGAAAATATATTTCTGCGGGCAAAATAAATTTGCCATAGTTTTTGTATACGAGACGGTTATGCAATCGAACATGAATCAAAGCGATCATTGAACTCCGTTTTAGAAAAGATGTTCTACAGAACCTCATGATTCAGCGTATAAATTTTATTTACATGTACTCGTTTTCAGTCGAAACTGTTAAATTATTACTGTGGAAACATGCCAACTTCTGGTTTCAACCCAAACCGCCTTAAAGTACACCTGAAGTTAAGCGTTAACCGTCTAAAGTTAACGCAGCAAAAGAAAAATGCTGTTGGGAAAGAGGCACGTAAAGAGATTGCCGAGTTATTAAAGATTGGCAAAGTGGAAAGTGCGAAAATACGGGTAATAGTTATAAAATTCCCTATTCTTTCTTCAAATGCTCTTGGAAAAACAAAATATTTGACCTTGCATTTTCTTACATTATAAAGGTCGAAGGCATCATACGTGAAGACTTTAACTTGGAAGCAATGGAAATCTTGGAACTTTATTGTGAACTAATATTGGCGCGATTTGGTATAATTGAACAAATGAAGTACGTGGGTGCGTCGAAGTGAAATTGAAATGGAATTATAGTATTTTGTCAGTTAATTCATGCTATTTTATTTGCTCACACTGTCCTTTTTTTCTTTCCTAGGCAATGTGATCCAGGAATACAGGAAGCTGTTTATACCTTGATTTATGCTGCACCGCGTTCTGAGATTAAGGAATTGAGTTCGGTAAGAATTTCTTAATATGTGGATCGCACGCAAACTATTCTTTTTAGAGAATTTCAACTATATTTATTTCATTTTGTATTTTATTATTAGGTACGTGATCAACTAATTTCAAAATATGGTAAAGAATTTGCAATGAACGCAATTGATAACAAGGATAATTGTGTGAATGATAGGGTAAAGACATTTATTTGTTACCATTCTATGAAGTTTAAAGGTGATAAATGTTCGGCTAATATAATTTTATTTATAGGTTGTACAAAATTTAAAAGTGCTCACGCCAGATAGGTTTTTAGTTAATCGTTACCTGGAAGAAATTGCAAAATCATATAATGTAGATTGGACTCCAGACCTAAGTGATGAGGGATTTTTAGGGGTTGGAATTTTTTAATTTGTTTATAATTATGTATATATATATATATTGGCAAATTATCTTATTTTTTTTCCTATTATAGTTGGATTCTTTACTGAACTCAACATCATCTAACAACAATGTTGACACAATAAATCCGACAACATATACCGCATTGCCAGACTTTGACTTATTAATGGAGGACATAAATCCTCAGCTTCTCGAGTCAAACAATAATTCCGTATGTGTGAAAATAGTTCAAATAAGAGGATTATATTTCTCATAATTTCTAACTCTTTATTTTGTTACATCAAAAAATAAGGAGCAAAATGATGCAAATGACGCACTTCTTCCAGATGTTCCCTCATTACCACCCTCCATCAAAAAATACAATAAACTTGGGAAACCGCCATCTCCTATTCTTCCAGACTCTTCAAATTCACACGCAACAAATAGTGATGATATATCTACACCACCACCATATTCGGCTTCTCAAGAAACTCATAATCAATCATCATCTTCCACAAAGTCCGGAAAATCAAATGATGAGTTGCCAGATTTTGAAGAGTTGACAAGGAGATTTGAAGCTTTAAAAAAAAAATAATACTATTGTTCACAAAGATGTATATTTATTGTATTATTTCCTTATGAGTTACAGTTGAGTATATATTATACATAAACTAATTTCCTATAAACATCTAAATCCTTATTGAATCATTGAGTATTAAAAAATCGAAATTCTCTCGTCTTTCCGATTGTTATTGTTTTTACGTCTCTTATTTCACTGTTAGTGACATAGGCAAATCGCATTTGATGCCAGTAACCTTTAATTAATAAATTTAGGCCTCTATGAGTTGCAATTTTTTGCCTGGTTTCTCTTTATTAGCTGGATCCTCCTCATTAATCGGCTCCTCGTTATCAACTTGCTCTGCTATATGATTGATAAGCAATGGACAAATTAGAATCGCAAAGAAATTAAGATAAAAAATAGACGACAAATCACCTTTACTAGGTTGCACAACTACAGGAAGATCATTTGTGGGAACCGAAGGGAGATTCAATCGTTGTTGAATCTAAGTTATTATTAGATTAGCGACGTAACATATTATTGTGAGTTTGTAGAAAGAGATCAGTTCTTTATGACGTAATACCTGTTCCTCTTCAATTTTCTGCAATTCTTTTTGAATTTCCTCCTCGTCTTCATCTGTTATCTTACTGCTTAAAAGTTCTTCGATTTCCTTTATTCAAGATATTTCATCAATTAAAAAACTTCGTCATCAATAGATGTAAATATAGGATAAAGTATTTACATTTTGATAAGCAATGGCATCCGCGGTATCTTCCATCAATGCTTCGACTTTCTCAAGCGATGTTTCTTTATTAAGTTCGTTCAATATCTCATTTCCACGTGACAAGCCTGCCAACACTTCTTTTTGAACAACAGCGAATTCTATTGATTGCGTCTAAAATATTTTTTGTATACGAGCGTGCAACACCCACCAATCAATCAACGAAAAAAACATGGTTAAAACCATTTTTTTGGCCGAACTGGGCAAGCGTAATATTATTAATGTGAGTTGATAATAATAAAATAGAGGAACAAAAAAATGGGGACGAAATGAAAAAATTAAGATAACGTAAATACTCACGTTTTTAAGGTATATTTGTTACTTCAACTCAAATAAAGCAGCAGAAATAGTCAAATTGTTTACCAGCTCTTCAAGATTCAATAGTTGCTTGTCGGATTTATCTAGTAACTGTTGTTGGTATTTTTTCTTCTTGAGAGCGAGTAACGCGCGTCTTTTATCTTCTTTAAGAATTGCAGCTTTCGCTATTTCTGTCTCTTTGTCTATTACAAGTTGTATCTGTTTAGGCGAGCACGCTTGGAATGAGGAACTGAGGAAAAAACCATTCATAAATGAACAGACTATTACTTGTAGTGAATATACCTTTTTCTGATACTGCTTTAATCTATCTCGTTGAATTTTAAGGTCAAGTATAGCGCGGTCTTGCGCAGTCACTTTATTTTTAGTATTTTTTTGACCCATTTTGCTGTTATTATTTGAAATGCGGGTAGGATTTACTGTTGTATATTAATTGATTAATTGTTAACTTTGTTATTTATTTGCTCTTCACTTACAGGCGCCTTTCTACTTTTTATATAACTAAAAGTAAATGAACTTTGCCGAGGTAAAAAAAAGATGACTTGGCAAAATCGAAATAAATTTTAAGCCAAGCAATCGACGATAACGATAAAAAATGCTCACTATGTACCAAAATGGTTATAAAACTAATTACTTTCACTGATCGCCATTATCTAGTCTTGGCGCTTTCATTCCAAAACAGTATACGCATTTGGAAATAGAATACCCTAACGCTAACAAGCATGGAAAGCATAATTAACGAGTACGGAACGGAAAGTGAGGGAGAAAGTAACGTCGGGAGCATGAGCAACAATGCTTTGACGTTAAACCAGCTTTCAACGAATAATACTACTCAAACAAATAGCGTTGCTGCTGCTTCACACCTTGCTGCCTCTCAAATATCCAAAGTAGAAAATCAACCACAAAATACAACTTTAGTCCCTTCTGCCACTTCATTTTTTAGTTTGGGAGAGAAAAGTGATTTTATCCCTCAACAACAACAATTTGTTAAACCCTACTTGAAGAAAAACCTTCAAAATTTTGACCATTTTAAAATAAGACCTTATGTTTCGAAGCGACGAAAATTAATAGAACAAGAAGAGAAAAAGAAAGAGAAATTCGTACAGGAAGTTATAGAGGGAAAATTGAAACCAAACGGTACTTTTGTATATAATAAATGATTGCAGCTTAATTTCAGGCTGCTATTTGTTATTTAATATTCAATTTTTTATATTACAAAAGAACCAGAAATTATGCTACCACCCGGCACCAAAATTCTTGATGTTCCTTCTCGTATTCTTTCCGCGATAAAAGTTGCTCGAGAAAAAACTGATAATAAACGTGGACGATTTAATAATAATAGTTCGATTCCTAAACGGCAATTATTTACACTTTCAAAAGAACATATAAAGGGCGTGAACGCCGTAAAATGGTGTGGTGAATTTGGTAAGTATTCATAAATGAAAAATTATGTTTAGTTCAAATCATTGCTCAGAAAATCCTTTTAATGCTTTTAATTGCTAAGTAAGGACAGGTTTTGGCTTCTGCTTCTATGGATGGTACTGTGAGAATCTGGGACGTGTTCAGATCTAAAGAATGCATTAGAGTAATTTCGCATGATGGTAATAATATATAAGAAAATATAGTACCAAAGTCGAATGTCGAATACTTTATTTCGAATTGAAATAAACCGCGTGTTTCTTGTTATGTTAAATAAAGGAGCAGTAAAAGACATACAATGGAATTCGGAGGGGAAAACTATTCTTTCATGTGGATATGAAAAGCTTGTCAAATTGACCGATTTAGAGACAGGAGCAACTATTCAAGTAAGCATCCATTTATTGATTCCATACTTTCACGTTCACATTTATTAATTTCAAAATTTCTCAAAAAGTCATTCTTGCACCCACAATTTGTCACTTCGCTCCGTTTTAATCCATCGCAATCAAATGTGTTTGTCGCAGGAATGACAAAAGATGGACTTATTTCATGGGATGTGCGAGCAAACAAAATAATAAAAGAGTTTCGAAAATTTTGGGGTAGTGCCAATGATTTGGAATTCTTTCCAGATGGAAGTCAACTTCTTACTTGTTCTGATTACGTGGTACGTAATTCGGCAGATAAGAACATTGTTGTTTGGGATGTTGGCTCAGTAAGTGTATTCTAACATTGTTCTATTTTTGATATAATAAAAATAGTCTTAGATACATTGTGTTTTTTCTATATAGGCAACTGCTGTTTCTAATCAAATATATCAAGAAGCTTTTTCATGTACGGCCTTAAGAATCCATTCCGCTCAAAAACATTTTGTTGCTCAATCCAATGCCAATTATATCGCAATTTTTAGATCAGAGAGTCCATGGAGGCTGGATAAACGGAAGGTGAGTAAGTGCACATTATCTTTGTTATTAACATCATCATTACTGAATTTTTTATATGGTATCAGCGATTTGAAGGACATCTAGTGAATGGACATCCAATTAGATGTAATTTTTCTCTGGAACCTGATAATGGACGATACCTGGTTTCAGGGGACTCGAATGGCGCTATATTTTTCTATGACTGGTCAACCTCAAAGAATATAAAAAGTATTGAGAATGCACATCAAGGGCCCTGCACTGATGTTAGCTGGCATCCCGTTTTGGGTGGTACTGTGGCTAGCTGCGGATGGGATGGTAGAGTGTTAGTATGGGGATAAATTGTACAGTTAAAACGGACTTCTAAGTGTTAATTATCACCTATTGTATTGTATTTCTTACAAGGTAAGGTAATAAAAAATATATTGTCAGAGCTTGCTTCACTTTGAAACCTATAGGACATATCTGATTTAAAATATCGATGTGCAATTTTTATTGTCCAACTACATCATTAAATTACTAGTACAAGAATTATGATAAATATAAAATTCATTGTAATTCATTGAAAATTTCTTCGTCAGTTTTTCGTCCTTCCCATAATTCCTGAATATCTCTTGTTTTCAAGAGACCATTTTCGGTAACATAATGGTCAATTAGACTTGATTCCACTTTTTCAAAATACACATTTCTAACTTTAACCGGTTTATAACTCTGCAAGTTTTTCTCCGATTCGTTACCGTATGCAGCAGTGACCTCCTTAGGATCATTTTCTTCCATTTGTTCAGCTTCTTCACAAGCTGATATTTTATCAGTGCGCGAAATAACAAAGACAGGTTTCTCATGGTGCTTGGAGGCTAATGCTAAGGGAACAGATCCCATTTTATTAATAACGGCACCATCATTTCCTATAATTCTATCGGCGCCAAGTAACACGTGGGTTACGGTTGACATAAAGTAATCACAAGATGCGTCAGAGACTATCTGAAGGCGTACAGATTCTAATTCGTCTCCACTAATTTTATCTATTAAAAGAGACGAAAGCTTTTGGGCAAGTACCACAGCTCCTTCATTCAATGGACGGGATTCTAGTATAGTGATCTCAATTTTTGGATTTTGTGACGATGATTTAATTGAGTTAATAATGTTAGCTAATGCATTATAGATAGTAGAGGAATAGCTTAATGTCATGATATGAATATTTTCAGGAAATTTTTGATCCTGAATTTTTATTGCCTTCCTAAATGCATCTATGATTCTTTCATTGCTTTTCAACGACAGTTCTCTTTGTTCGTGGATTTTGTCGAGAGCTAGCTTCTCGAAATCTTCAACAGATGGCAATGCATTCTTATTTTTGTGCTCTATTGAATTTTTTAATTGTTTTAACACAGATGTAATGGCACAAGATATAGAAGCTCTCATTGTCGGTCTAATTTGGATTATATGCCATCCGATATTTAACCATGTCAAATACAATTCTCTGGCATCGTTACAATACTCATAACAAACCCTCGATTCTACAGACTCTGCAAATATTCCTAAAGCTTGATCAGCCAACTGTTGCGCGCCCGACGATCTATTATCACACATATCTTTTAATCCGCGATGAACATTTTCAGGCAAATAAACGCGATAAAATGTCTCCTCAAGCCTCGGAACAGTATTCTCCAAAGAATATATTTCATTGGGTTTCATCCATTGAGAAGTCTCATGTTCCCAATCAAGTTGAATTTTATCGGGGCTTGCTAGTAAATGAAAGAGAAACGGATAAACTTTCCAAACTGTCGATATATTTTCGGCGCGTATTGTAAATGGTTTTCCGGTACGTATTAATTTTACGTCAGACGAGGTGAACTTTGTCTCTTCCTTGATTTCATTTAGAGCACGTTCGAGCGGAGATTTATCTCCTGCTTCTATACTACCACTAATTCCTGCCCAATGGTGTCTAAATAACCAACCATTTATTTAACCCATAGTATATATATTACGAACTCAATTATGTAATATTAATAATGCTCACGGATAAGTTCGCACTTTATCGCTTCTCCTTAATAAAAGAACTTTATTTTCAGGATTAAGTCCGTTGTGTTGCGGTTTAATGAGAAAAGAAGTGACTACTTTTCTTAACATTGTGAAGATTCAATCATGGAGACCTACATTGAAAAATTTTGCATCATATTGTATGCAATCATTAAACCCAGTGATGGACAAAACTAGGTCACTAAATTTTAATATTAAAATAAGGCCATTTAACAGGTCACCGTCCAACACTGATATACCCTTCATTTTTATTGGTTAAATTTAATGATCAATCGCTAGATATGCATTAATTATGTGCATATAATTGGTTAAATATCATTGTGCATGTTGTGTGTTCTAACTGGAATTATATGAACAACTAACAGACTATTAAAACATGGTAAATACATATAGCATATTAAATGCCACGACTACCTTTGGAATTGTGGAAACAGATCGTTGACTCTTTCTCCGATCATTCCAACCTACGTTCCTTACTTTTAGTCAACAAAGTTTTCAACGAATTCGCCGCTTGCAAACTCTACAACAGAGTTATTATTGGCCCAGGGTGTAATTTCGACAAATTTGCCAATACTATTTTGAACTTGACCGACGGAGGAAACAACACGAAAAACACATTTTTAAATTATGCATCTTTAGTACATACCATCACCATTATTACTTCATGTGAACTTTATGAGTTTCCTTGGTATCGATTACCCTTGGTTTTGGCAGAATGCGAAAATGCTGATGGCTTATTGATTTCTCCTAGAGAGCAATACGCCGAACGAAGTACCATTGCTGTATTAGAAGTCATGCGCTCGTTTACTTTAGTCACAAAATATCTTGCTAAAGCAATTGAGATAATGAGTGCACGTAAGATACGTAGATTATGTTTAAGATCACTTCGTTTTGTTTCAGAATTTCAACGTCATGGGACTTGTTTTGTCGCGTCTCTGAGCCTGTTACGTGATTTAAAAAGTATTGAGCTTTGGCATGAAAATGGAAGACCATTGGGTAGCGAAGGAAAGCACTGTATCGTTGATCTCATCACACAAAACAACCTGAACGATCTTCATTTGGATTCTTTTGTGATTGATGAATTAGAATTCGAAAATGTTGTCCGTATTTTTGAGAGTTCGTATGACCTCGAATCATTAACGTGGGGGGGCACAAAATTTAGTCTAGAGGAGGAAGAATTCTTGTACCGATCCATTTTTCAACAAAATTGTCCGAAACTCACAAATCTTACAATTGAAGTATCTGGATTTCATGAAGGCGAAGATTTCCTTTTGCTTTCTAAATACTCGCAAGGTCTCAAGCAACTACACACTCTTCAAGACCTTGATGGTGGTGCATTGCCACTTTCTACGTTTATGAATTTTGTTACGATGAACAAATCAACGTTGAAAAAAATCGACGCGTGGGTTTCGCTTGCTCCGCCGCCATTCCAAATACGTAGACGTCGAGGTTTTCGCAATCCTGCTGTAGTAAATGTTATTAATATCCGTACTAACAATAATCACGACTCTGACTTTGAATCCTCAGAAAGTGATGAAGATGTTAATGACGACTATTTCGATCAATTACACTCATTTTATCATCCTGTTAATACCCATTCCTATGCAGAATGGATTCAATCATTGATTGAAAAATTCCAAGAAACAAATCGCGCTTGGAATGATCATTATGACGTTTCTATTTCTCTGTCACATCCGCGTCTTGCGTCATTGTTACATAGCTGTAAAGAAAGTATCGAACAGAATTGGCAATCGTTGGTGGATGAACATCTTGGCAATCCAATACGCGAAGTATGCCAACATAATCTCAATGAACTTAAACTTTTCTTGACGTATTGGTAATCATATTTTAAAGATACGCGGCATATTTATTTTGTTTTCACTACTTTGAAAGGTACAAGAGATTGTTCTTTTTTGTATTTATATTTTAATAGATTCATATTTTTGCATTTTGAATTTTTTGTCAGAATTTCTTAGCCAGTTCAATTTCGTTGTGTAAACTGTACAAATACAATGAAATAAAAAAAATCAGAAAACATTAACTAATTGTTGGTTCATCGTCGTTTCTCATCGAATGATTTAAAGTGCGTTGTAAAAATGAATACAAAGTTTTGTTACATCAAAAAATAAGATACTGATCTGAAAGTTAAACTGTTAATTTGTGCTCTTTGATATCCGAAAAATTGGTACACATGTCATGTGTATGTGTACTTTTATTACGTGTTGATTAGAAGGTTCAAGAGGATAGTTATCTGAAATAAATTAATAGCCAAAAAAGAGATACTCGTTGTCATCGTCCAAAATGCGTCTTGTGTATCGCAATGCAATCTTTAAATTATGTCTGGATTTATCTCATCATATCGTTGTAACACGGCATGCATAAAAGTTTCGGATATACCAGGGTTCTCTTGTTCGGCATCTTTGAATGCTCTTTTTAGTGCATCCAAAGTTGATTGAGCCTTAGCGGATGGTGCAATACCGCGTAACTATACAGAAAGTAATAGAGTGAGAAGAGCAACAAGAAATCGGAAATTCACAAACAACTCATACTTTATCAATCGCTGGCACAAAAACGTGTTCGAATATTGCAGCCCCAGTTAATCCATACTGTGCATCATCATATGGATAGTCATCATCATCCTTTTGTCTCCGATGCTTGATAGTATCATAACCAGAATCTTCTGTGCTTGCCTTTTGTTGATATTCGAAACGAAAAAAGATTTTAATAAAAATGCATAACAGTAATATCCAAACTAATCATGCCAAATACTAATTATAAAAATGATCACCAATGATTGTTTGCCTTTTGATGGACCTATGGTAGAACTCGTGCTTGAATGAGGTTCTTCCTCGTCGGATAAAGTCGGTGAAACTGGTTTTGGAGATTTAACGGTATTGAACTCCCAGCTTGTTCCTTCACCGTCATCATTACTACATTGATCCCATTATCAATGTTATTTTATTTAAAATTAGTACTTTATCTAGTGTTAGATTCATAATAACTTAAGATAATCTTTAGAATACCCAGTTTCCGGTGATTCTGAACCATCGGATTCTTGATGATCCAAACCATCTGCTAGCCACCTCTCATGTCGCTCGATCAGCTCTGTTAAGAAAGAAGTCTTTTTTGCATTACGAATGAATCGATGCTTTAAAAGGTCTTTCGCTGACGGTCGCTACATAATAAAAAATATAATTAATTATTTGAGTCACGCAGTAATTAGAATTATAAACACTTACATTTTCTGGATCCTTTTGTAAGCAAAGTTGTGTAAATTCTTTAAAAGTTTTGGAAAATAATCCATCCAAGATTGGCGGTGGATTTTTGGGAATAAGAAATAGAACTTTCATTGGATGTAAATCTGCGTAAGGTGGTTCACCCTTTGCGAGCTCGATGGCAGTTATCCCAAGAGACCAAATATCCGCCTAAATATAATAAATATATTAAAATAATTCACCATTACTAAAAATTTTCAATTTTATAGTTTTCGTAAAAAAATTCATACCTTATAATCGTACCCTGATTGTTTAATAACTTCGGGCGCCATCCAAAACTATTTTTATCAAAGATCAAATTAACAAATATTTAAATTTTAAAAATCCTCGATGGTAATTACCGGCGTGCCAACGAAGGTATTCTTTTTATTCATAGTAGCCGTGAGCTAATTAAAATAAAAAAATTTATAAGCAATCCTCTTTACTCGCAATTTAATATTCTCATTTATATACCAACCTGGCCCGAAACTCCAAAATCTGCCAACTTCACTACGAGATTGACAACGGGATTTAACCGACATTCAAAATCCAACTTAAAAAATCATAAGTAAATATTACATACCATCCCCCGTTGAACTCAGAAGGACATTAGCGGCTGTAGTAAATAGGTCAGATTAGAATCTAATTATTTTGTTTTCTTTTAATATATAATTTCTAAAATAACGTGCATATTTTTATTTTTTCTTTCCGAACCTTTGACATCTATTTAGATATACCCGAAAGGAGTTAATATAAGTGTGTATATATAAAATTAAATCAAATAACCTTAAACTGACCCCTGTGAAGTTTATTCTCCGTATGAAGGTATTCCAATCCTTTCAATAATTCCCGCAATATAATAGCTATAAAATCTTCTTTGAAAGCACCTGGTTTCATCTAAATAAAATCACCATAAGCTAAAAGAATTTCTACATTTCATAGCTTACTTAGAATTATAATAAACTTTGTTTAATACTTACCAAATCGGAGCAAGATCCTCCTGAACAGTATTCCATTATAATCCATAGATGTGTCCCTTTGAGGTAAGATGCATAGTACCTAATAAAAAGAGAAAAATGCATTTAAATATTATGTTTATGGAAAAAATTCATAAATTCTTTAAAAAAAATAATAACTTTGTAACGTATTGCGAGTCAAGCTGCGATAGGATAGCAATTTCTTGTTGTATGTCTTCAATCTCATCTTCAGCATTTTCAAGATCGATTATCTTTATAGCTACAGGCATTTTTGTCTTCTTGTCGTATCTGAATATTGATAAATTTCAAAATAAAAATGGGAAATTGACATTAGTAATAGCTTGTGCTGGTTATTATCCATCTCAATAGTATAGCTTACCCTTTATATACCTCACCAAAGGATCCTTTGCCTATTGATATTCGAATTATAAGATTAAAACGCGTGAATTAACGATAAATTCAAAACTAACATCAAATTAAACCCATTAAAAACGTGATAAATGTTTCAATCTCCGCCCCCAAACGATTTGTGCATGTTTACCCTCTTGCTTCCCCAGTATAAGCACCAATAATCTTTTATGATTGAATTGTTTCTTGCAATTTAAGTAATTTGAAAGCTAATAAACAGCAAAATGAGAAATGTTTTCTTGCCTATTCTATCTTGTCGACCATAGTACTCTTCTGGGTCAGCCTGGTTTGACGAACTCTTAAAAGTTAACAGAAATGATTAGACCAGAAAAGGAATTCTTAAGTCATTTTTAGCGTTTTAACAGAATAAAGGGCAGCGGTCTTTTGACTTTAGCAAAGGAACAGCCAAAGAGTTATCCTTTTACCATTTCAAATATATGTCAGCTTCTCAAAGAGTGGAATGACGTTAGAGAGAAATAACTAAAAAAAGAAAAGGCTAGAATTTACTGGTAAAAGATTGCGCGGTAGTGTGGTACATGCAATAAAACGGCTTGTGGAAGGGGAAATGTAAAATTTTTGGATGCTATTTTTGGCTCATGCATTTATGCATAAAAGTATTGCACATTCCACACGTGCTTTACTGGAATCTGTGTAAAGGGGATTGATGAACATTGAGTATGACAGAGATATATATAACGATAATGAATTAAACTCTGTAACGGTAAGAAACAAGATTCCAGCAGATTCTAAAAAAGGTAACAGAATGAAAATGCAATTTCCTGTTGATACTGCAACAAAAGAACAAAAAAGCAATAAAGAAACTTTAGCAAATCTCCGCCAAAGATCTCTATTATTTTGGCTGGATGTGGCGCGTCGTAAACCAAAAACTACCGCAAAACTTTATGAAAAGTAATACTTGAAAAATAATTGTTTTTAACTGTCATGTAAAAAGACTGATTTATTTATTTATTTTGTATTAAATTAATTTTTTAGTACTACAATTCAGGGTAATTTGCAAGGCACTGATGCAATGGAATATAAATTCCGTTTTGATAATTGGGAATCGCCAGTTGGTGTATATGAGCACGTGGTAATTCGAGGAACAGATGTACAATTATTGGAGATTAACTTTGAATGATAAAAAAATGACTTGATTGTTCATCCCTTTTGGACCAATTCAACAATATAAAAAATAAATCATCACAAAAACGTGTGCGACGACATCCAATTCACTATTACAAATATACAGTCCATTACTTTTCTCAATCACTTTCGTCGTCATCTTCGTCACTATCAGAATTGACCTGCCGTGGAGATTGTTGCTGTTTCTCTTGTTCTTCATTCCCTTTCTTCTCTTCAGATTTTCTTCTTTTCTTTTCTTTTAATTTTTGGATTAGAGTTTTTGCTGAATTAAATATTCCATGTGTTGGTGCGCCGCACGCGAAGCATTTTGGATCCTTTCTAAAATTTGTTGTTGCACATTTCTCACAAAAATAATGACCACACCTTTATAAAAAATTGTAAAAAATTAGAAAATTGAAAATCTCAAACTAAAATCAATCGAATCAGCAGAAGAAACAATTTACTTTGTGACTACTGGACTTGAGTACTCTTGACGACAAATAAGACAAGCAAATGGCAATTCATCTTCGCTATCGTCGCTACTTTCCACTATATACGCGTTGGGATCATGTCCTAATTTTCCTTGCTTTTCTTCCCATTCACGTTCTAGTTGCCATCCAGTTTTATAATCTCCACGATCATGCAAGAATTTACAAGAATCTCCGTATCCACAAAACCCAGTTTCTAAAGGGAAAAGAGAATTACAATTTTAACGTGATCCAAAGAAATAAAACTAAAGATTCAAAATATTGAGCTGTTACCTTTATAATCTTTACATATGTCAGGTTGATAGTCAAACCGTGATGTTACCCGAATATTTGATGGGGCTCGAATAGGTCCTGCTTTTATTTTGGAGCTGGCGGCACTTCCGGCTGCAGTGTCACGTTTTTTTATATATGATTTATAAGCGTGTTGACCTTTATATAAATTATCATCATCTGCCTACATTTTAATAATTACGAATTTTGATTAATACAATTGATAAAACTAAAATTCACTTCAACTTACTTCTTCAGCAGCTAACTTTTTTTCTAGTAAAGCTTGTGCATCATTATCAGTCGCTGTATCCCACTCGGCTGTTCTTGTTGCGACATCTTGAGGCATTGAAGAAGCCGCGGATTTATTCGAGGCATAAGTAACGCTTATGTCTTCAGTTGTTACTCTTTTTTCCCGTTTAGTCTCTTGTACAAAAGGGGAAGCTTCCAATTTACGTTCTTTTCTAACTACTGTAGAGCTTGTTTCTTCGTTATCTGATCCGTCATCAGATTTATTTCTTTGACGTTTGCGTATATTCTTGTTAATTTTGTTTTTCTTTTTAAAGAACGGAACATTGGGAGTCTCCTCGATCAAAGTAAGCGTTTCTTCAGTTGTTTCTTTTGACATTTAGAGTGTTGATCAACAATGCAAAATCGGTCAAGTCTCGTTATAGTAAGGCCAATTGCAGTTGGACGTTGTCAAATTATCACCCCCAAAATACGTATGGATTTAGGAGCCACAGGATTGTTCTCTCAATTTCTATACTTCACGCAAAAATGATAAAGCGTAAAGTGATCACAGCCGAAAACGACAAACACCCTCAATAAGGAAACTAAAACTGTGTTGAATTTCGAGACTCTTACTAAAGACCTCGACAGCGACAAAAGAGTTATTAAGGTTGGAAACTGAGACTATGGACGGGGAGTGGCTCAGAGCTATGAGTGTTGAGTTAAAGGAGCCTTACTTTTTTTAGGTATAATTATGTAGTGTAAAGCGCATCGCGTCGTGTTATAAATAACAACTTACATTAAACTCCAGTTGAAAATTTTCTTGGTGTGAAAAAGAAAATAAATAAACTACATTTCCACTTGGTATGATAATACCTTTTCATATGTAGTATGTTATTTGAATGAATCCTTGATAATTCAATTATAAATATAATGGTATTTTTATTACAGAGCGAGACATATACAGTTGGTCAAGGTTTACACCTGTGTCGGGCGAGGTTAATTACAATCTACCGTTTTTTAAATAATTATTTCACCTCAGACCCATATCTCGATGTAGGACAAGCTCATGGCAAGAAATCTTCAACTAATTAATAGGGATTTTAATCTTTATCATCTTATTTTAATAATTATAATGATAACGATCATAATATGATGTTTTAGCGTTCAAAATGGAATAAGATGTCCTCCATCTCTTGTCAATATCTACAAAGCGCTGAAAACTGACATCCCATCATTCAAAATACCAGATCACGGGTATTTATTCTATTTAATCAATTTGATTTTTGTTTCAATGAATGAAAATACTTTAATTTTAATAATCTCTTTAAAGATACCTCGAGAATTGGGCAAAAGAAGGTGTTTTGCTGTTGACAGTTCGTGCTCATAACGTGGCAAGTCATAGTGGCAAAGGCCGGGAGAAATTTACTGGTTCGTATAATGAATGATATTATTGTCTTTAACTTTTATATATTCAAAATTTTCAACTTGTAAATTTCTAGATGCGATAATTCAATACCTTAATGAAAGAAAAATGGCTTAGTGTTTATGCTGTGGGGTGCACATGCTCATAAGAAAGGCAAAAATATTAACACGGTAGAAAATATTTCAAACATTTTATCATTTTATATAATTCATAAAATTACTTGTAAGCATCTTGTGCTCAAATCGGTTCACCCATCATCACTCTCAGCAACAAGGGATTTTTTGAGTGCCGCCACTGGTCAAAGGCCAGCGATTATCTCAAAGCCGCAGTAAAGAGCCAATTAATTTGAATTGTTTAACAAACCGTCAAGTTAATGATAATACAACTACCACTGCCTCTAACAACACCTCAATTGATAATTTCTGTTAATTCCGTATAATGTAATATTTGACAGGGTTGATATATTGGTTCGATATAGCAACTCTTAAATTAGTAAATTTTGATTAATAGGTAATTTTAGTGGATTAGTTCATAAAGCCGAGTATATAGCAATTTATTCTATAGTAATCTATACTCAACAATTTGTTTTCAACTCAAATGTAGAGACAAAATTTTCAAAATTTGATCGGTAATTTTATAGAGCTTATCATAATGAACAAAGTTACCGGTTAAATCTTGCAAATTTTGTTTCTACATTGAGTTGAAAGATTTTAAAAATTGAAACAAATTGTTGAGTATAGATTACTTGAACCATATATTTTTTATATTTTATAATTGTAAATAAAGTTATAATAATTTTTATCCTTGCCAGATTATTAAATAGTAATTTGAAATTCGGGTGTTGCTAAATGGCAGTCCAGAATACCATCTAGAGATGATAATGCAACCCGTTTCTTTTGAAGAACACAAATTTTCCGTGGTTAACGCGTTTTTTTTTGGGAGATTTCTTAATAATAATGTATCTCAATTTATTTAAATTTGTAAAGCATTCAAATTGAAAGTAATTTTAAATGATTGATAAAACTTTATTCATAGTTCTATTATAATTGCATTATTAACATCTTAAAATTAACATTAATTTACTTAAAATAATTCAATTACTTCCGCCTAAATATAAAGAAACCTCGTGTATGCGATCAGAATCTAAGTTTGGCAAAAAACCATTTATTCCTTCCACCATTATATCTTTCCTGGAAAGCTTTTCTAACGGACACCCTGGCCTTCCTTTTTTGCGAAAGTTCTTTTAAGTTTTCGTTCGAAACCGAACCCTTGAGGTCTTCTAGTTCAAAGGTGTATCGGGTAGGCATCAAATGATTATAGTTGATCACTTTAACGAAAGGCTTGATTTTTGACCGTTTTACAACACGTTTAGAACTATGTTTTCGGGTGACCTTTAACGGATAACGTTCGATACCGGCGACGATGGCATGACCGTATGGACGTTCTTTTGTGCCTTCGTCGACGCTCTTGATTATAACAGCCTTTTTGCCTGCATAGCGGCCTGATAGAATTATGGCAACTTTACCCGGCTTAAGAAATTTAACCATCTTTTCTTGAAAAATATAACGAAAAGATGTATTTTCTTTTTTTTTCAATTTTTCTAGACGGTGACGTCACAAACTTAAAGTGTGACTAGATTGTTGCAAAACTTTTTTTAACATCTTGTTTACTCTCACGTAAAATACATAATGGTTCAAAAAAACGAGTTTTTCGACCCAGAAACTGCAGTTCAATGCTTGAAATCCTATGATAACGCTGATGGTCTTTCAGCGGAAGAAGTTTTTGATTCTCGTATTAATGGTGGTTTAACTTATAATGATTTTTTAATACTTCCTGGTTATGTCGATTTTCCCGCGTCTGAAGTTTCCTTGGAGTCTCAAATAACCAGGAACATTGTCATTAATACTCCTTTTATGAGTGCACCGATGGATACGGTTACAGAAACAGACATGGCCATAAATATGGCCGTAAGTATTTTATAACGATATCTTGTGGAATCTGTTCATAGCATTTCAAATATTTTTGAAATTTATTCCAAATCGATAAAATCTCCAAACATATCATTAAAAATCACAAAAATACGCATGGTTTATTATCTCTCAATCTAGTTATTAGGTGGCATCGGTGTAATACATAACAATTGTACTATCGAAGAACAAGCCGAAATGGTTCGTAAGGTGAAAAAATTCGAAAATGGTTTTATCACAGATCCTGTATGTCTGACGCCCAATCATAACGTGGCTGATGTACATCGAATTAAACAACAATTTGGCTATAGTGGTATTCCAATCACTGGTAACGTACTCGTCACACCCAACTATTAGCGAGCAAAGAAAGCTGATATCTGGCATTCTTTGACTCGTTAATTTTTGCTGGTAAATAATCCTACCCGAAAATAATCACTTGAAAACGAGACTTTATAACATTTTCTATTTATCAATGATGAAACGTTTTTTATTTTTACTTTCGTTCTTCTGAATTGGATGTGAAAGTGCGTTCAATGTAGAAACATAAAGATTCTGAACTTAGAAGATTCTTATATTATTTAAAATATACATTTATTCGATTGGTTAAATAATATAATACTTAATTTTTTGGCCTACCTCCACATCTAATAGAAAATGGCCAACTTTACAGTAAACTTTTAGGTATTGTCACAGCACGTGACATTCAATTCCACGAAAATGATAAAACACTTCTAAAAGATGTAATGACAACGAGTCTCGTGGTGGCACGAGAAGGTGTAACCCTCGAAGAAGCCAATCAAATACTAAGATCAAGCAAAAAGGGCAAACTCCCGATTGTCAATTCACGCGGAGAACTCGTGTCATTGCTAGCCAGATCCGATCTCCTGAAAAATTTAAACTTTCCCTTGGCTTCAAAAACTTTAGATTCAAAACAACTTATTTGTGCCGCTGCTATCGGTACAAAATCAGATGATGAGCTACGATTGAGAAAATTGATAGATGCGGGGTTAGATATAGTCATAATAGATTCGAGCCAAGGCAATTCGATATATCAAGTTGAAATGATTAAATATATCAGAAAAACCTATGAAAACAAAATTGATATAATCGCAGGAAATGTTGTCACGAGAGAACAAGCTGCTACGCTAATTGAAGCGGGTGCCGATGCTTTACGTGTTGGTATGGGTAGCGGCAGTATATGTATTACTCAAGAAGGTAATGATGTTTCTTTGTTTTGAAATTAATAGCAAATTTGACTAGCAATAATGATAATATTTTTTATTTTAATTATAGTTATGGCCGTCGGACGTCCACAAGGAACCGCAGTCTACAGAGTAGCTCAATTCGCTCATCAATTCGGAATTCCAGTTATTGCAGATGGTGGAATTCAGAATGTAGGTCATATTACTAAAGCACTTGCATTAGGAGCTTCCGCTGTCATGATGGGTGGTCTACTAGCTGGAACCACCGAATCACCCGGTGAATACTTTTACCATGAAGGAAAACGATTAAAAAAATATCGGGGAATGGGTTCATTAGATGCGATGGAATATGGCTCTAATAAAAAAGAAAGAAATGGTAATGGTAATGCTGCTGCTCAGCGTTATTTCTCGGAACGAGATGTTGTTAAAGTGGCGCAAGGTGTTGCAGGTGCAGTCGTCGATAAAGGTTCAGTTCGAAAATTCGTGCCTTATCTTATCACAGGTCTTCAACATGGACTACAAGATATTGGTGCTAATAGTTTAACAAATTTACGAGAGGATGTAAGGGATGGTAAAGTAAGATTCGAACTTAGAACTGCTGCAGCACAAGTGGAAGGTGGAGTTCATGGGCTACATTCGTGAGTATATTCTTATTAATTTTTTGTAAAACATAAAATTTAATTTGTTCTTTTCATATCATATTATATCATTATTAATCCTTCTTTAGATACGAAAAACGTTTATTCTCTTGATTTAATGAAGGGATTCACCGAGTTTAAATTAATTAATATATGAATAATTTAATTCTATAAAATCAAAAGTTAATAAACTTGTGAGTTTGTCATTTGTATGTATAATGGTAAAATAAAGGAATTATTGGATGCTCGTAAAAACCATCTTAAAGAATAAATTAATATACAGATGTCACCATATGTACAGTTAAACCTCTCTATAGTCACCATTTTCAGGAAAGTAAAATTTGGTAACTATAAAGGGGATGTGATGAGAGGTTTTTTTTATTATGTTTATATGTAAATGGAAAAGCAAAATAGGGTAATTATAAAGAGGTGTGACTATTGTTACCGTTTTGATGGGGCTTTCGAAATACTCAAAGGTATTTATAAAATTTAAGGAATATTCAAAGGGAAACTTCCAATGTCTT